GGGGGGGGGGGGGGGGGGGGGTACTCGACCCCGTTTTGGATAGGTACGTGCCGCCAGCGGTCTAAATCCCTGACCCTGTTTAAGACACTAGAAAGCGAAAATCCATACCCTGTTGAAGACAAATCGGAAAAATAAGGAATAGCAATCTGCGCCGCAACCATCAAAAGTGCAATTATACTGACATCCATCAAAGACAATAAGAAATTTTTGATAACACGTTAATCCTGGGACAGTGAAACGGTATTTCTACTATTCCTACGGTGTTTTTTATGAAAATATTACCCTGTCTAAGACACACACAAAAATATATCGGTCTTTTATCTAAATTGTCGAGCCTGTTTAAGACAATTTCGGGTGAAATGTATACCCTGTTTAAGACAGCAAGGCCAAAAACCATWCCCTGGCCAGCGGCACGTCCCCGTATAGCAAATATATGGGAGTGCCCCCCCCGGGTTATCTTAGCAAAAACTGTCACGAGATATTGTCTCGCTGTGCATCGCTTAGTGTCTAACAAACAGTAGACACTTAGCGACACAACACGCACAACCATATATGGGATTATATTTAGCCAAGCACGTAGATACTTTATAACATAATTGGAGCATTACAGCACATATGTTTTCGTAGCTTTTCAACTTTTTTTTATTTAGAAAACAAAAAAAGCCACAGTACATAGAAAACGCAACGTTTGTCATCACGATGCAAGACATCTTATACGCAGTAATAATGACGTGTAGAAATAGACACATTATTTTTCTACTGGAATTGACAAGCTCATCCTCGGCAGCGGAGTCATATAAACTCTTGGTTCCCGAGGATGCCCAGAACTTTAGTATAAAATACCAAATCCACCATGACAATACCTCTTTGAAGTTGATTCTTTTCTTCCTCTTTCAAAAAGTCTCTCAGGCTGTCAAGATTGTTGATGCAGTCACTTGGTGAATCTGAAATGCATGTAATGTACACATTATCCTACTGGAGACTGAATTTTTCATGCATGACAGATCATTTTGGTTTTTATTTCTGTTTGTAGCATTGCCGCCTTAGCGAATAAAGAACTCACATGTTGACTGCCTTGAAGTCTGGACCTTACACTGTTCAAATTAAAATAAAAATAATTTATTATTGTTTAGTGGGTTTAATTAATAACTAGTAATAATTGAATCCATATTTACCTCATGTCTGGAGTGACAAGGCGAACTAGTGAAAGATTTTCAACGCGATAAGAAAAAACATTCCTCCAAGCGACCACGTAATATTCTGCCTATCATCATATGATTATATATAATACCATTTTATTCTAAAATATAGTGAAAGCAAGGTGCTAGCCCGACTTCACTCTCTAAGAGCGTCTATTTTACCCTTAAAATAACTTATCCCAAGTGAGTTCATTTAGAGTACACAAAAAACAAGCCATTTAAAAAAATCGATTTATTATTGACTATTATATAAAAGAGGTACTATGTAGATACAGTCTCTCACTATCTATACCAAGTTAGTATAAACATTCTAATGGTCTATCACTCATACTGCACTGTGATTGGCTACTCTACTAATGGTCTAATTTGTGATAGACCACTCGCGAAAAAAATATCATTGATAAATTATTTTAAGGATATTTCAATTTGTTTTCATTATTTGACCGATTAGTATGTTTATACTAAAACAATTAGACCTCTCGGCCTCGCGGACTCGGCCTCATGGGCTATTAGCTCGTAGTCCACTCGACCTCGAGGTATAATTGTTAATTGGTCCGAACTGCGGTTGATATATCTGTACCAAGATATACGGTGAGCATTTTACAAGAAAAAAAAAACAAAAACACCGACCCCTCCCAGGGCTGTTGGGAGGATAAAAGTGAATTGTAATAAAGCCCCGAGTAGAGCTAAAAGGAATGAAATGTATTATGTTGTGTACAGAATTTATACACAGTATTTCACGCTCACTAAAGCTTACTAAATCTTATAAAAGTTTCAAAATTTAATATACCCCGATAATCATCCATTTACAAAAACATGGATCCACTTGGTCCACTTTGACAAATGCATATCGTTCAAGGGACCGTAGTTTAGTAAAAGCTAGTGGTATTTTTTCCATTGGTTAGTCTTTATAGAGCGTCGCCACTAGTATTTAGAATCTCTGATTTACATGGATTGCTGTCGCATATAGGGTTGTATCTCATGTATTTACAGGTCGTTCTTGTTTTCCAATCGGTCGATAAACGAGCTTTATATCGTTCCTTCCCGTCTTCTCTGTGAATTAAACAGATTTGTAAGTTGAAAACGTTTATATAAATTGCACGCAAACTGGTAGAAATGAGTGAAAATGAATAAAGGCAATCCTCTAGGACCGTAATTCATTCATAAATCCCCTTCCCATAAGGCACTGCGTATGTAGAACGGATGAGTAGCGACTGGGCATTAGTGACGTACCTTATAGACTTCGTGGTATGCATTTCTTAATAAAGCATAAGGAAAACAAGATTCTAACACATCCATTGTTAGATACGGCGATTCTTGAACAATCTATAAATCATAGAATTCATAGAGTCAAATAAATAAGTTGAGTAAATTCAATTTGTCACTTCAAATACTCACGAGGTCCAGTAGTAAGTACGTGGACTCTCTTGATCTCAAGTCTTTTTCAGTTTCTATACCTAGCTTCAGCAGGCTTGAAGAAGCGATCTACAACAAGAAATGTTTTACCATTGAAAAAAGGGTAAAGCAGGATTCTTCATAGATTACTACTCACCGCTAAGAACTCTCTCAGCCTGTCCTCTGGGTTATCACCATTGTTATAACACAGGGCTCCCGTCAGATGATTAATGGTTGTACCAATGCAATGAGCATTATTCTCCGTGGCTAAAAAAAACAACACATTTCACCAGTGATGACAAACACATATGACGTCATGTACACATGACAAACACATATGACGTCATGTACACATGACAAACACATATGACGTCATGTAATCGTGATAAACACATATGACGTCATGTACACATGACAGACACATATGACGTCATGTACACATTGCAAACACATATGACGTCATGTACTCATTACAAACACATATGACGCCATGCACTCATGACAAACACATGACATAGATATGCACTTAAGTGTCCGCATATTGGATCTATACCTTCGAGTTCACATATGAACAGGGTTGCGTCTTTATAAGCGAGAGAAGGTAGTGCTACTGCGATAAAGACATGCAGTAGTGACCATACCATGATGTCATCTTCGGACTTTTTCTCTGCAAGAAAAACATGACAGTCATTAAACTAACACATCAACAGTATTGAAAACAAACAGGAAACCCAAACAACGACCTGGTATACACAGGAAACCCACAAACCTTTCAATGGTCTTAAGGCAGCACAAAGAAGAGGGTCGACAGGACACTCTTGACCAGACGCAGAGGCCATCTCATCTACAACCTAACGAACAAATATCAAACATAAACCTTTTTGATATCGAGACGTCTTATATCTAGTCCTCTAGACAAGTCATGATCGATACCTGTCGATCACTTGATCCCTGTGGGAAGTTTTCTTTCATGTCTGTTACACAACTCATTAAGTACGGTACACGAGACTGGAGCCGCTGAAAGGAGAAATGAATGTTGTGAAAACCACAAGGATTTGTTTACACTCTGTTTATGGTATTTCTCTTTTTATTGCAAAATTTCATTAGAAACACGCTCTAAATGAAACTCACAATAGTTTACGTCAGTTATCTCAATGAAAGAAGTACTTACAGTAGCAAGCGCTTGTTGCGTTAGACGTCTAAAGCTAAGTATGACACCAATGATTATGACACGTAGCATAACATCTTCCACATCTGGTGTACAAAATAGGAATGGTAAGCTATAAACCCGTGAAAAACACTTATACGCTATAGTTTGCATGTTTTCTTCTTTTCGGTGCATCGCACATTGTTATTTTTGGACTTTGTCTCACGGGTTGATGAAAACACTCTAAAATACTTTTCAACAACAAATAAAATGCAGGTTTTACTGTACTAACTTCTTAATCTTCGTATTAGTTCGATGGATTCTTCTCTCTTGTCAAAACTGTTTCTCAATGCTACCAACACTTCTTTATTACTGATCACAAGTTTCTGAAAACAGAATAGTTCATTATTTATTCCATCATTTATACTCTAGCTAAAGTTCTTCATATAGATGATTTTGAAAAAGGTTGTCGTAGATAGCCACAAGAAATGGGCAGCGCAGTCTCAGCAGTGAATTCTATCTACGCTACTCACTACCTGTGAGTGTCTTTACCTTTAGTTCGCCCACTTGGCTTGCAATTTGCTGCATCATCTTCTCGCCCAAGTACTTCATTCCATAAGCACCGAGCAGTTCAGCCAGGGCACTCATTTCTTAAACAAACAGAGTTATAACAGGGTTAGGAAGGTTCATAATTCAACAATAGACTTTAAAGGGTGCTCGTTGGTTGTTATATAGGAGGTACAAATAGACACCATAAAGCATGGTCGTTATTTTGGCCGATCTACAAGTGTATAACACATTACAAAGTATAGAATACCATTCACATCTGTGAATTCTTCGGCTCTAAAGGCAAGACCAGGACGATTAACAAACGCATTACGACGAGGAGAATAGATGATACCATCTGGCATTACACGACGAAGAAACACATCCAAATACCTTAAATTATATAACTGCAGTCAATCTAGTTGAAGAGACATTTAGACAATAAGAAATTCATGAATGGATGAATAAAAAATGGGAATGAAATAAATAAAGTTATGAAAGGAACACCAAACCACATGAAACAAAAAAAACATGCAAGAAGAAAGGAAGGGTTAAATGGCGATGATAAGAAGAATAAAAACTTTAAAAAGGATAAAAAATGCGAGTGACAAAAAACTAGAATGTATTTACCAGGTTGTGTACATCTGTGTGATGGTATTGGCTCCTTGACTGTCTTGTGGCTGAGTTTGTTGTAGTAACACATGATTGAAGATTCGTGCTGTATCTACACCGGCTATCATGGGGTAAAAACAGATACCATTACATATTATGAATGGTTATTAGTGATGACAAGATACTTACTAAAATTTTCTAGTATTCTAAGTGTTGACATCATGGCCTGAAAAGAAAAGAAAAATCAATATGAGAACTACCTCTGTTATTCATTTGCTACAATAAGAAATCTAGAAAAGTATTATATAAATATAATTTATATTATACAGGCGAAATACTTTATGTATAGTTTAAAACACGATCTCGAGTGTTTTAAACGGCTTAAAAAACTCCAACACTAATTTGAAACTCAAGTCCGTTAAAATTCTTGAAGAAATTGCCATACAAATATGTTCAGAGATAAATGGGGCAAACTGATCATGCGCGAATCACTTTACAAAGCACTCTTGTCATCCCACATTGAATACGCATAAAGTAAAATAGAACCGCTCTTGGCTGTTCACCGAAATCGGTTGACATCCTGCATTGGTCAATGATCAGGTTTCAAACCTGAGACCTTTGCTAGGGTCATGGACCTTTATATCTGATAAAGGTCACCCTTATTAGTATTCTTTATATAAAGAATACTAATAAGGAGTGTTTTATCAGATATAAAGGTCCATGCATGTGACCAAATAGGCTCATTCTATTGGCCTAGCAGCTCATTAATTATGTATGAGTTTTTTAAAAAAATCTTAACAATGACATGTCACCTTAACATTGAGTAAAACCTCACTAGGTCGAGCAATTTTAGCAGCATCTTGGTCATATTGCGCCATACTCAAAACAGACCTGCATTGACAATAAGAACAGGATGAGCATAAATTGTAATTAGAAGCATGCGCTAAGTATGACGCCGCTGCCTGATGATTGACTAACAACAATAACAGTGACAATGACAACAACATCAAAAATAGGAATGGAAACAACGGCAACAACAACATCTAAAATAGGAACGGAAACAACGGCAACAACAACATCTAAAATACCACCAAAACAACAACAACACCATTAGGAACCATGGACTAACTTGGCAAAGAATTCTTCCAATTGACTGCTGAGGTATTCTTTAGGTGCAAAGATGTGCTCCCAGACTGGAATAGCTTCAGTGTGAGTGATAGCAAGACAAAGTTCTGTAAATGACTGTAACTTGACATCCAAACTAAAACCAATCATAATATAATCTACCATTTAACATTTATTTAATATTATCACTTTTGCCATGATAGTCTTTGTAATACATTAGGCTGCTCCACAGGTAAGTTTGTATTTCTTTGTCATATAACCTGCATTTCGGCTTATACTTTTCAATGCCTACATACATGCAAGTTAGCTGTTTAGTGGTTTAGCTTACTTGTACAGTGTATGGAGTTCAACTAGACAGTGCAGTGGATAACCATGATACTTACGGCATCAGTTGCTCTCTGTTCTTTCTAAAGCTTTCTGAACCAGGAGGAACAAACCCTCCTTGGACATTCTTCTTACTCTTGTTGTCCTTACGCTTGGCAGCTGACATCTCAGAGAGCAGCCCTACAGCTTTATCATGCCATAACTAATATGAGGAAATACAGAATTGTATCAGATATTGCTGTCCAATAAATGTAAAATAATCTCCATAATAAAGAGATTACCTGTTGACTAAGATCAATGTGATCTGTACACACTTGACTAAGCAGATTTCTTGCCTCTTTTGCCATTGAATCCAGAAACAGATTAATGGCAGAAAGACTACGATCGCCTATGGGGTGTCTCTGATAATTAATAATAATTAATATATATTATTATTAGTTTGTAAAACGTTTGTAACTTAAAGTTTTAATACACCTTAAGTCCTTATAAACATTATTAGCATTAATAATTAGTAATTATAAATCATTGTTATTTGTTACCTCTTCTGGACAGAATTCACTTGTGCAGGACATGAAATGGCCACAGATGAGAGGAAAGGCAATAGTGTACCTGGAAAATGGTTTATAAGTCAAGTTTGTGAGATGGTCATTTATTTGCCATTAAGAGTCATTTACCTTCGCTGCAAGGGATCCTCTAGGGTTTTCAAAAATGATTCTTCAAAGAAGCTTGGATAAAAGCTGAAAAACATTACAAGATAATTATCATTTAATATAGCATCAATATCAAAGACAATTACATGTTGTAGTTTATATCAATTTATATCTATACACATCTAAAACAGAAGGAATTGTGAATGGTTTGTAAACAACATAGCAATGAAATGTTCATGGGTTTTACATTCCACTTCTAAGCATGATACTCTTAGACCAAGTTGAAATGTGTGTTAACTAGCTTATTTCACTTATTTGTGATAACAGCAGTTATCTTATTCTTATTTTCTTACATATATATCTTTATCCCTATATGAATTCCTGTGACAATTTTTCATCCAAATTACTATTGAACTCACCAAAAGATAGATAAATCAGAGACTTCATTCAGAATATCATCTTGTGTGTCAACAAGACTTGAATGGAATGATACATTATTCATTAAAATAGCCAGATCTCTGTTATCCTTGAGTTCAGGTGATGAACCGCGTACACTTGTATAAGCCTGTTAACAAACATGGTCAATTCTTTGAATAAAGAACATGTATATAATTTGATATAAACTTCAAGCAATTCAAGTACCTGTAGCCTTTGCCAGTCCATACGAAGTCCACTAAAATCAAACACCTCCCCTGATTCCACTATTGAAATCATGAAACAAAAAAAAAAACAAAAAAAAAACATATGAGTTCTTTAGCATCATATAAAATATTAGCACCAATTTTATATCTCACTAATATAAATACATTTATAGTACAATCAACAAAATAATATTGGTTGAGAGGAGTACAATTACAGTGTTAACTGTACTCCTTATAAAATTTTGTTTCAATGAATGTACTATGAACAAAAAATCACACAACATCTCTCACAATTTGGAATTAATAGTCACTCGTAACATTTTGAAAGTTCTCAAATCGCTATCGGGCTTGTGCAATTATGAAGAACTTTCAAAACATTACTCATGACTATTAATTGTTCTAGAGGTCGTGCGATTTCCTATACAAATTCCAGGAAATCTTAATCTGTACTAACCTTGTTTAACAGAAATGCTCGATAGGATGTCAATGAATGATGTCATAATGAGAGATATGTCCTCAGAACAAACTGATATTTTCTGTACAACTTCCTTAAGTACTGCCACATCAAAGCCAGATAAATATTGCACAAAATATCGCTGGAGTACAGATGAATACTTTTGGACCATGGCTGCAAAGGCAATACAAAAGCTGAATAATTATTTAAAAAGACAAACCTCGACGTAGAGAACATTTCTTCAAATACTAGTATCTGAATCAACCTGAATTTCATAAAATGAAGCTCTTCTCTGTTACCAATATGACTATCATGCATGTACTTACTTCTTAACTCCTCAACAGATAGCAGAAGCTTTGCAAGTTTTCTAAAGGAAAAAATACATCAATGCATCTGAGATATGCATGCAGCCAATGCTTCACATATCTATAAATAGATTACTCACATATCAGTGAAGTCATCTTGGCTAATTTTCTTTCCCCTGGGGGGTGCAGTGTTAACATGTCGTATCAACCACTGGATCTCATCCTGCGCTAGTGACAATGCACTAAGAACAACTAATATCTTGGGACCAAGAAGACCTGGTTGGTCAGATAGTATCAAAGCCATCTCATTTAGTGATGTCCTCAAGTAGTTTCTTCTTTCTTTATGTACCGCGGCACTAAATACATTTTAAGTGTAAATTATCATATTTCCACTCATTCAATCAATAATCAGGTTTCTCAGCAATAACTAATGGTTTTCACTGATAACTTAAATCTCCTCTACCATGTTGTACAATCGTCAAATCTTTATCCAGTGGAAGAAAGTCCATACAAAATCTAAAAAAACGATTGTTTTTTACTGTATTGTATTGTACCTTGCTGAGATATGATTGGATGCATCTTGGACATCTCTTAACCTTTTACCATATCTAGGAATACACAATAAGGCAAGCAATGACACAGGTATCCCAGAATGACAAAAACACAGGAATCCCACTAACCCCCTGATTCCATCAAGAAGACTGGAGATTTCTTTATGGTAAACAAGAACCTCATCTCTAAATAGTGTCATACAATATCCATCCTGTAACGCCATCTTCCAGATATCTGTCTTTCCTGGCATATTGAGCTGCTGGTAGCATAGTGTATAACCAACTGAAGTGATGAGAATTAATCAAATCAATCAATCATTAGTTTTCTGATTGGAATGATTCCAATGATGACTAATGATGATGATAATTATGATGGATGAAATGCTTGGTGACCTTGTAAACATACTAATGATATATTGATGGATAAATATAAAGATGATGATGATGAGAACTAATACTAATGGCTGAAAGTACTCACATATAATCCATTTCTGAATTGTACTCATTCCAAGGTATTCCACAGGGGGCTATGCAATACAGTAATATAAAAAGTTGTATTTTATAACAAGAACACTAATATACATCAATTCTAAATGTAACTGACAGGCACTTACAATATCACTCAGCGCTGGACTCAATATAGTATTAGGGGTACTAATAATACTAAGAACTTGGTTCTGACGCCACTGAAATAAAACAAAAAAAAATATAAGAGAATGACTACAATATTGACATCTAGTAAACTATATATCATACCTGCTCTCCAGTCATTGATTTTCTGAGGAAGACTTCATGCAAAGACTGCAGAGCTGTAGTTACTCTCTGAAATTGTGTATCAAAGATGTATATCTCAATGTACTAGCTTTTCTTAACAAACATATTCAAGACACAAACCTACAATCATGTGATAAACAAGCAGCAATAGAGTTTAAACAATACCTGCTGATGTGGAACAAACTGTTCCGACATCTTTTTCAAAGGATTTTCATAATCAAGAATCATCTGACCAAGTCTTGGAAAAGACTCCTCGCTGTAAGAATAACAATATAACATTCAAATCAAATGACAAAAACAGTATCCATCTATAGACAGACCACCAACCTTCTCCCATTTCTCATCTCAAAAGCATGGTTGAACAGTCCAAGAACTGATTTTCTGTCCTCTACACGTGACACCATGATCATTAATGCAACAAAGGTCACTATCAGGTCCAGGTATGTCTTAGTGAGGTCATAGTTTAGAGTCTGGAAAGAAAGGAAATGCTTGCAAAACAATGTACAAATTAATCTTAATCAATCACAATAAACTTAACTAATCAATATATAATCAGCCAATCAATCATTAAGTACAATATACAGTACTACAAGTGGTGTTTGGATGAATGTTTTTAGTCATTAACATGTATATGATAAGGACACCAACCATCAGTACTTACAATGTCAAAGTTGACAAAACTTGCATCAATAGCTGTAAGCAACTCACATGCATGATCCTGTTATAAAGAAGCACTCTATATTAACTCACAACCACTAGTAACTAATTAGTAGAAATAGTCTGTAAAATAATAATCACTTACTGTAATAAGCACTTTAAAAATCAATATTAAATATTTAAAGAAGCAAGAAAAATACATGCAGTTTAATGACAAACCTTAAATTCCATGATGTCAACAAAAGTAAAGTAATAGTTTGACAGTCCTTTCATGACTTCATTCTGGATGCTGATGATTGGCTGAAGCTGAGGAGCCTGAAAATCAAATCAACCTTTATTAATGTAGCTTGACATTCATGTCAAACGATAGACATCATCTTTCCTTCTCCTATTTCCTGGTCATTTGCCACATTATATTTAAAAGCATCTTTGCCATACACTGTTGTCATATTGAACTTGAAAAATTATGCACCATTATGGCCAGCTTTGTTACTATTTGAGCAATTAACTTGAATAGCAATTACCATAATTAATATTGCATGGTATTAAATCTAATTGTACCTTTGTGTCCATTTGAGGGAATTTCCTTATAATATACTTGATAGCAGGCTCTAAAGTCTTGTCTACAAGAAATCCTGGTCTTGACCTTGGATCAGAACATGCCTGAAAGCACATATAAGCAATGCACATAAATTCAATAAAGATTTCACTTCAATTTAAGCTTATAAGAACAAACAGTTCATGCAAGCTATAAGCTGTAAGTCGTAAATACGTTGGGCAGTATATCGAACAAATATTGTTAATTCAAAAGGTAAGACATTTCAGTTTTATTTCATTATAAACATTTTGTCGCTATATTCGAATGTCAAGCATATAGCTATGCCAATAATGGATCGTATTTGTGCATACCAAAGATTTAATCAACTTTGCAAAAATTACCTCGACCTTCCGCAAAGTTTCAACGCAAAATCAATGCAATATCTGCGTTAATAGTTTCTAGAGATAGTACTTATGTGTCAATGTTTTACAATTTTTCCTAACCTTTTTGATATTGTAGATTCGAGTCAGCATTCCTTTGCCTCGCTCTGTTAAAATTGTTAACTTTTCAGCCAACTTCTGCTCCGTAACTGAATGACGACTCATCTTGCAAAGAGTACTGCACCAGCAATCCTTTGGTTATTATATATTTGTGTTTTACACCAAAAACGCCAGTATTTTTGAAGCTAAAAAGCTCAGAGAGCTTACAATGAAATCAGGAAGTCAACGCCATTTTGGATGTTGACGCCTCCCTAGGTAACCACCCAAAATATACCACAGGACACCCAACCAACTAAAACTTAAGCAGGGGATAGGAGTGGGCATTCGGGTCATACGGTCTCCCTTGAAAAATTGGAACGGCTGCTTGACGGACTGTTTAGTTTAGGGCCTGAGATGCGACAGTTCGCATATCTTTTAAGTTCTCTGGCTGGCGACATAAGTTTAGAATCAGCTTTGTCATTTTGAGAAGACAAACATCAAATGCAACAAAACAATGGAAAAATTGTTTTAATTTAACTCTAACGAATTTGCTAATAACTATATTGATAAAAGATTTTCTTTCTGCATCTTCCTTCGACTGTACATTATGGTGTCTCTTTATTCTAATCTTCCAACATGTCTATCAACATACACGTACTGTACCATAGCGAACTTTTGCTATGAAAGAATTTTATACCACATCTCAACAGCGCATGTTTTGGGAAGTGGATTCAGAGACTATTGCACTCTGCAAATTTAATCATTACATTATGAAAATTCCTTTTTCCCAGTGTGGTGTTTCAAGTGTGTTGTCAAGTAAGACTTTCGAGCAAATTTCTTATTGCAATAAGAACATTCAAATGGCTTGTTTCCAGTGTGTGTTATTAAGTGTCTTGTCAGAGTGCACTTTTGCAGAAACTTCTTTTTACAGTAAGGACACTCAGAAAGGTTTTCTCTAGTATGGGTTTTAAGATGTACTTGCAAGGAATATCTGTGCATGAATTTCTTTCTACAGTATGAACATTCAAAGGGTTTTTCTCCAGTGTGTATTCTTTGGTGATCTTTCAAATGCGACTTTCTGGAAAATTTCTTTTCACAGTGAGAACACTGAAATGGCTTCTCTCCAGTGTGTGTTCTTAAATGCATTTCCAAATGACCCTTGCGTGAGAAATTCTTACCACAATAAGAACACTCAAATTGGCTTTCCGTAGAATGTAGTGTGAGATGGACTTGTAAGGAATACTCTGTCACAAATGTTCTCATACAGTAACAACATTCAAATGTTTTCTCCTTATTGCAATTCAAGGTATCTGGATCAACTACTGTGGTTGTTTTGTTATCAACCAAATGTTTGTTTATAATTTTTCCTTCATTTCTAGATAAACTTTCCATCGAATCACGACCAGTATTAACAGCACAGTTATTTGATGTTTCATTCTTGTTCTTTTTATCCACGCTGCCACATCTACTATCAGGGTCCTCCATCTGGAAATAAAGCTGACTGAAAGTTATAGCGTGGTCCGAAGAAATACTATTATACCATGGATGGCGTCCAGCAATGTCATTTTCCAGCAGGCGTTACTGGATTGGAGGCTAGACTAGAGACCTGGGAACGATCTGGAATTGTGAAAGATATTGAAAATAAAATGAGAACAGAAAAATTAACGAATTAGCATACTTTTCAATTGGGTAATTATATGGAAAAGAAAGGAAACAAAATGAAATAGCATGGAAGAGAGGGAAAGATATCGAGAAATAAAGAAATGATTACCCATCATCCACTCCGCTCGTTTACTGCTCACGTCACTCACTAAACTAAAAGAAATCTGAAGAAATTAAATGGCTGTTATTCTTGTACAAAATCCTCTCAATTCAGCTGAAAATGCACACTCTGTGTTTCATGATCTTAGCAATAATGACAATAAGCGTTGTACATGGAAAAGATAAGCTCCATGAAGGTAAGTTTAACATTCCTCACCCGCCCTTCTAATATTAACTCTTTTTAGCGAAGCAGATTATTTCAAAACCCTGTATCATTTGCGAAATGAAAGAAAAAATGTCTTTTTCAGACGACAACCACAAGTTTACGGCAGAAAAGTAAGTATTTCATGTCATGTTTTTTATAACATGAATAAAAACTGAAACTGATCTTTTGCTTCAAAAGTCAAGCTTGCGTAAACATTTTGTCAATCTAATGCACTCTAATGACTTCAAATTATTAGCCTTGAGAAAAAACTTAAAGATACAGGTATTGGTGCAGATTTGCAATCTCGCATTCTAAAAGGCGGTTCAACGACTTTTGAAAAAGTCGATAAGGAAACGATGTCGAAACTTCCTCCGTCTGTTTTGGCTTCAGTTGGTGTAAGTGAAACAAGCTTTGCATAATTTTATACGTTTATTGCCAGTATAGATAAGGTTTATTTGTATTTGTTTGACCAATAGAAAGATGCAATTCGAGGAATGAATGATCAGCAGCTACAAGGGATGGTGAAAGGTTCTATGAAGCGCGGAACAAGCAGTAAAGACATTCAAAAACTCTTAGAAAATGTGGACTCAAATCAGTTCAAAACGGTACTCAGTTTCGTCAAGGTAATATCTTATTGCAAAATCACTATTTGCAAAGGATTTGATTATATTCTATATAATAAGAAATTATCTATTACAGAATTCGACGACTAAGTTGTCTAAAAAGCAAATGGAGGCTTTTAAAAATCAAATGAAGAAGACAAAAGGTGACCCATCGACCTGGTCAGCGAGCACTGTCAAAGAAATGGGTGGTATGATAGTGGGATTGTCGCCTAATGAGATCAAAAAACTAGCTAGTGCCGGCAAAGAAACCTTTGAAGCAAGGTGTGTGTTGGAAATATGATGATGATAAAATAATTAAATCAATTACTGGATCGTGTAAAAATTGTGTAGATCGTTGGATTAATGATGATAATGATCGATGATGACATCATTCCGGCCTGAGGGATGACTGATATTTTCAGATCGAAACGTCGTGATCTCAGTTCTTTTCTACACGGTCCAGTAATTGATTCAATTATTTTATCGTTCTCCATTTTAACTGGATGAGTAATCTTCAATTCGAGATAAAATTTAATTATGATAACGATGGTGATAGTGATAATCATTTTCACAATGTCGTATAATGATGATGACATATGATAGCTTTGATGAAAGAATGATGTGATGATGACAATAATAATGATGATGATGACGATACGGTCTAGTATAATCTGCATTGTCTTGAAACTATTATCGATACGAAATAATCAAGTTATTTAACTATTTCAGTCTTGATGAACTTGCGAAAACTGATGTGAACACACTTACTAAAGGGCAAAGGCGACAGATCATTAAGGGAGCTGAAGAAAGCTTTGGCGAAAAGTCAAAATGGACATCCTCAACCATCAAAAAAATGTCTAAATTTGTTGGTGATATGAAACATAAAGATTTGGCTGAAATACCGGTGTCTGCGGTAGGCATGCCATTTGAATCAATCGTTGGACGAAGGCTATAAGAGCTTACTTTATTATATTTCCTAGATCAAAGGCGCTGTATTGACTCTGGGTAAGACCAAACTAAAAGGGAAAAGCTCCCGTGAAATGATGAATAAACTAAAAGATCCCAAGAATGGATTTGGAGCATCAGACAAGTGGACGTCAGAAACACTCAGATCGTAAGTTCGTCATTACTGACTTCAAACTATCATCATTTTAGCCGTTGGTGGTCATCAGTAACAGATTCAGGGGGTCTCCATCGCTCTCTTATGTCGCAAAAAGTACGTCACATTGAACCAAAGTTGTGTACAGCTAGTTGAATACTAAAGATACTGGATACCAAGACCGAAGTGCATGTTGGCCGTTCGAAGATAATTGTGCGCCGCACAGCCAAGAACTTCGATTGAATTGATTAATTATGTAACGCAGCTAACGTGGAGTGGAACAATGCATTGCGGTCTTAGATTCACTCCTCTCCAGTTGACAGGAATCAGCACTCAATGTTTTTTGAAATAGCTGTATAACTGTATAATGACCAGTAATATAAGAATATGCCCTTTAGGAGTACAGTAATGTGTTCAATACATTCAAAATATCGAATGTTTCATAAGTCTAAAGTTCAGTTTATATCATGATCTCCTTCTCGTTCTCTTCTAGATTGGGTAATCTGACAACAGGGTTGACAGGAAAAGATATTGAGCATCTAGACCGTCATGCTGTTCAGGGTGCATTGAAACCTTTGGGAAGCGTCCAGTTCTCTTTGAAGCAGGTAAAATGATTGCGGTCTAGTGCACTGACTATGCTACTTTTTTAAGTATACTGGGCTAGCAATATTGGTTTGCTTTATAATAGAGCTACCTAACTCACTGTTTTTAGTTCTTGTACTACGCCTTTAGACGGCATTCTTATCGTCTTCGTGATATATTTGGAAAGAACAGCTGATAAATCGAGTGAGATTCATAACCGCACGTGGTGTTCAGCAAGGCAAATAAACCAGTATTAAACATGCTAAACTATAAGATAATATATGGAAATACAGTTGCAATGAATGCTCGATAAATAATCAAACAGCCATTTTGAAGGAACAATCAAAACAATGAAATCAGTTGAAAGACATTTGACACCTGTAATGCAGTTAACAGAAAGATATGATTGGAATATGTATTTGCATCGACTTCCTCGCGTGTAGGATTCGACGTTTGAAACAGACCTTTTACGCATGAATCCATTTTACTTTAGGCTCGTAAAATGGCATCAAAGGTGAAAGAAGCCTATGGTTCGGTGAACAAATGGACAGCTGAAGTAATAAGGAATGCATCAAACATTCTTACTGGACTGAAGCCTAAAGAACTTAGTCAGCTACCAAAAGAGGCCGTCATGGACTCAGTTGAAAAACTAAAACGAGTGAAATTCTCTCAAACTCAGGTAAAACGTGAATGCTTTTGATGTACTCAGTAAAGTAACATGATGTTTTTTAGAAAAGAGAGATCGCTAAGAAAGTCAAAGAATCGTTGGGCGATGTAAGCAATTTTTTATTTCGTGTTTTATTTCGTTCTTTCATCCATTCGTCCATCCATCCTTTCCTTCTGAGATCGATCTTCTTTGTCAACAAATAATATTTTTCGCAGCCTTCAAAATGGAATGAGTCCATTGCCGAGCAAATGGGACCGTTCATTGGTGGTCTCCCCTTATCAGACCTTAAGAACATGCCTAAAGCTGCGATAAAGTCTGCCCTGAAGGCAATGAAAGGAGACGATACCGTGCCACCCGCCAAGAGAAGAGCCATCTTAAAAAAAGTACAAAATATTAAAAACATGACTTTGTTTTGGAGGATTGTGATTGTATTTTATTAGTTTCTCGTTTCATTCGCTCGTTTGTTTTGTTTTTCTCATCTACTTCCATGTCTTCCATTTCTTAGCTTATTTTTTTGTAGGCAAGAGAAGCAGGTGATTTAAAACTGAAGGAAGTCGGTTCTTTCCTGAAAACGTTCAGTCTGAAGGACCTAGAGAGCGTGGATCCCATCGTAGACCTGGGCCTAAATGATACAGACGATGGCAACGGTACAGAGGACACCACGTTAACATGGAAGCTATCGCAGGCTCGCAAGGTTCTTGGGAAGATAAAAAAGACATGGGGCGATCCTGATAGCAGCGAATCGCAATGGACTCTAGATAATATCGTGTAAGTTATACTATCCTATAGAATGGTAACGATGAATGAAGAGCATGCTGGATAGACTCAGCAATCATGACTTGTTTTGTTGTTTGTTTTAGTCGTCTAAAGGGCTTAGCAATCGGTGTATGGAAGACATTGATTGACAGTAGGTCATCACATGACATTGCAGACATTGTAGAGGAATTCTCACAACAAGAAGGCTTTACTCCTGGGCAGGTCAGTATGTACAGTTTTCAGCAGACTATCATCACAAGGTTAATCGTATTGTCTTGTTGAAGATGAAAATGATCATTAAAGCATACAAGGACAAGTTGGGTCTCAATCTTTCAAAAAACTTCACCAATCTTGATCAGATCGAGATTGAGGCACTGGGACAGTTTGTACAAGAACTTAACGACACAGACCTCGCCAACCTTAACGTTGATGCTGGTGTGGAGGCTGTCAGGCAGATAGGAGTTACAGAATTACATCACAAACCACGTGGACTTGTTGAAAGAAAGCTAGCAACTGGATTAAAATTACTGGTATATTTGAACTAGAACTATAATATATAAGCTGAAAATGATAATGCTTGCCTGCTTGCCTGCTTGCCTGCTTGCCTGCTTGCCTGCTTGCCTGCTTGCCTGATTGCCTGATTGCCTGATTGCCTGATTGCCTGATTGCCTGATCATGTTTCAGGCAAAGAAATACAATAAAGCGAACTTAGATCCTAAAGACTTGAAATCAGACGACTTCCAAGATTTGGGTAATCTATTACTAGGTCTGTCCCCTAGACAAATCCAGCAGATTGTTAGCACACAGTTTAAAGATGCTGTTGGCACGTTTGGTCAAATACAAGGCTATAATAAAGAACAGCTACATGAAATGGCTGACAAGGCTAAAGAAGCTTACAAGTACGTTTGGCTGTTGTTTATCGCTTTGTATAAGGGCACATGATATATAATATCACTACAACTACTATCTTCAGAGGTAATGGCAACGTTGAAGACGCTCCTTCAGCCCTCACCGGTGAAGACGTAGACGACATGGGCAATGTATTGGAAGGTTTTACACAGGACGACTTTGCTAAAATGGACGAAGTAAGTCGCGCAATTGTATGATTGATTGAGTTTGAAAAATATCTAACGCAGTGATGATAAAGACGGCAAAAGTGCACGTGTACGTGTGGATGTACGTGTGCCTGTACGTGTACGTGTGGCTGTACGTGTACGTGTGGATGTACGTGTGGCTGTACGTGCACGTGTGGATGTACGTGTGGCTGTACGTAAGTGGCTGTACGTGCACGTGTGGATGTACGTGTGCCTGTGCGTAAGTGGCTGTACGTGTACGTGTGGATGTACGTGTACGTGTGGCTGTACGTGTACGTGTACGTGTGTCGCAGTCACATTGAATTGAATGAATGATTGAGTGGTTCATTGTTCGTGTAATGTTGACAGCATGTTGTACAAGAAAAAATCGATGACCTTGGTTCTCTTGTACTTGATAAAGAACAGGCTGAGGGACTAATGCAGGTCGCACTTACAGCCAAGCGAAAGAAAAGACAAACAGGTTAAATGACAGCTAACAGTCCCCGCAAATATATAATGAATCTTATTCATGCTCCTAAGTTTGGCATTAAATATATTTAGTCTTTAGTCAACATTGATTATTTGCATTCTTGAAGCAGATATATCTAGTAAAAGTGGTGATGAGTTGATAGCTATGGGAAGTACATTATTAGCTCTGAGTACTAGTGACATCGCTTCTGTTGATAACACGGCGTTCGATGACGCAGCTTCTTCTATTGGCTCAATCAAAGGATTTACGTTGGAACAGCTACAGGCTTGGGCAAATAAGGCTAAAAAGGTTCAATTCTCTAATTTATTGGAGTTGTTGAGGACACAAAAGCAATTGCAATTATGATGATGACAATGATGATGATGATGATGAATATATTGTTGTTTCAGGCATGGAACTCTGATGTTGCTCTGATAACATCGGACCAGCTTCTACGATTAGGAGCAATCTCTGTAGGTTTTAGTGCTGATGATTTGTCTAAAATGTCTTTAACCAGTGATGATGTTATTGAAAGTCTTGGTTCGCAGCCCGTAGCCTCTGGTGATGAAGTTGGGTATTCAGCTGATCAGGTGCATATTCAAACATTGCTATCCAATAATTTTTGTGTAAGATTGACATGTAAAATATCACATATCTTTCATATTCCAGTTTAATTTGTAATGCCAAATTGCTAACGTAAAAATAATGCTTGTTAAATGCAGCTGTCAAAAGCCCTATCTAACATAAAGACGCGTAAAGGCAAAGCCATTAAAGATTTTACTGGCGATGAAATCACTGCCTTGAAGAACTTTGCTATCGCAATGACGGCCAGTGAAGTAGCTTCTATTAGTTCTCAAGAGTTTGGGTAAGTCAGATGAGCAGCAATAATTGTGAAAGAATTTCTTATCATCATATGCCTAAACGTAATAATTTACGTTATTGGTTTCAGGGCCGCAGTCAGTACACTTGGAGGACTTAAGGGGTGGTCTGAGGAACAGTTAGTGAAACTTAAAGAAAATTGCGTGGCTTTGTACGGAAGCATATCAACATGGGATTCGGCAGATATCAGAGAAGCTGGTGTAGCTATAGGTATGAAGTATTGACATATATCCCTTGAAACATACAGTAGCGGAGTGCACGCCTTACACCCGTGAAATATGCACGCCTTACACCCGTGAAACTATGTGGATCTACTAGTTGAGATTTTGATGTTCACTAGGTGGTTTTACATCCTCTGAGTTGGAATACATCAAGGATGATCTTCTTGCAATGATATCTCCAACAGCCATCGGATCAATGCCTCCAAATTTGTTTAAAGTGAGTATGTAAGGAACGACACAAATTCAAGTAGTTAATGCGCTTGATGAATGTAAGTTACGTTTGTCCAAGTCATTTGAGCAATTATATCGATTATTTGTAGTCGTTCAGCGAAGAACAGTTGAAACAATTCGACTCAAGCCAGGCCGCGGCGGTCACACAGTCTCAGAAGGACGCGCTGCCTGCGAACAAACGTGCTATCATACAGGAAACCCTTGGAGTGTCTGCAAACAGCAGCTCAGGTATATACTTAGGTAATTGTAAATAAATGATAATTAATCCTTAATACTGAATCATTTTCTTGTTTGCTTTTTTGTCCAAAGGAAAAGTCCGAGAAGTTCCCATTCTGTATGTTGTCATTGCAATACTCAACACCATCGTGATTTATGGCTAATTTTTTGCATTTATACATTTTATATACACAGGGAGCGGTTAAATATATTTAATTTCCTTTTAATATTTAGTCTTTATTTGTACAAACATTTTATATTAAAATCATTTCTAAGATGTGTGTGTGTGCGCAATATATACACATTATATCGACCACCAAGTGATAACTTGAATGGTCGCCTTATTCGAGACTACCTATATATACAGATATACATAAAACCCCGAAACTCCGACAATTGGTCTATTAGTATCTTTGATATTCAGATATACGACCATCGATTGTTTACTAAGGGGTTATATCATACGCCTGACCAACATCTGGTCGTAATTCCTCAAATATAACAACTGTCTGGTATGCTGTTGTTCTTATCTATGTACAGATTTTGACCTATGGTCGTATTACAGAGGTGTTCAATGCCGAACTAATCACTATTAGCTTTTCAGTGCTTTTCTTATCGCGGTCTACCAAAGCATGTCACTAGCACTACAAGCAATGCCATAAGAACACCGCTGGTCGCCAGAAACAGCAATGCGGGCATTGTATCAATCTTTGAATTGTCTGACACTTCGGAGTCTACAAATAACAACATAGATTTTGTTAATTCGAGCATTTTCTTGGGTTTCCTGATATTCTTTGAATCAAAAGGGACTGGAACACTTTCATGTTATGTGAAACAATTCATGTAAGTAAGGGGGCAGCAAAAGGGGGATGATGGAACCAATCTCACCTTTATCTATTCCCGAGTTCTTTCTTGTACCCTCCATAAATCCCCCTGTATCATTAGATAGCGGGCTTCCTGTGCTGCCGATAGGACTTGGAATCTCGTCCTTTTTAGACGAGATCTCTATATTGCTATCGTCCTCCTGTTTTGTCGATATATTTGCAGCCATGGCAGGTTGAATAGTATTAACAGGTCTAGAGTCTGTTTTTGACAAAGTGCTTATCGTTGTAGGGACAGTAATTGGTATGGTCCTTACTGTTGTAGGTGATGGAGTATCTGGTATGACCTGTTTTTGTATAGTTTTGATAACAGCTCTATATATGGGCACACAATGTCCAATCGGGTTCAATCTATAAGGTCCCGTTATATTACAGTATAGAAAATGGGCACAGCGTCCAAGTCTGTACGACATTCCACCACATGGCTCATCTGAAACAACAAAGCGCTTGAGATAAATTTGTGTACTTTGTGTGATAACGCGTTGCTATAAACGTTCCCACCCAATTCAAGCCACCCGGGAGTTCGTTGTATTTTTATTTCACAGTTAAATTCTTAGAAACAAAAGTTCTTTTTCCCACAGGATTTGAATTGGGTGGTAACGTACATGGCAACGCGTTAGCTGATTAGGTCTATGCATGTATAATAATTGCTTCGTATATCGACTTTTAACTACTTCCTTATTGCATATTACCTTGCACTTTGAGGCACACAGTACAGCAGTCGCAGTGATCCATAGTTAAACCGCCAGGACAATTAGTTTGATTGACACAATTTGATAAAGAACATGGTACACAAGGCCAGTTATCTACTACAGGGGGATACACTATCACCGCTGCCTTGGCAACCAACGTCATGATAGTTGTCAAGACAACCACCCTAAGGTGGCAACGACTGTTTGGCTGCAAAACAAGAGTTATAAAAGGTGTTTAAATGAAATGTGTTTCTTTCTTTATGAAAATTTATTCGAGAATATATCACTTAACACGGGCCAGTTGCACGAAGAGTGCAGTTGACAACCAGTGAAAGTTATCCACCTAAAGATTTATCTTATAGATAGGTCTAGTCACCCTTCATATAACCGGCCTAAGGTCTCTAAGTAGCAAAGAAAGTGAGTCGCAAACTTATATTTCATATTTCATAAGCCTGTTATTACAGATATCTCTATAATCGATCAGTCACAATCATCGCACAGAACACTAATTAACGGGCTCAAGTACCGTTTTTGTGACCATCCGCTGTAGCAGGCGTTCCTTGCGAGTCCTTGATATGTTTAAGTTGGAAAAAAATCTCTAGAGAAAAACAAAACGAAAAGTAACAACAGCAAAGAAAAGGAGAAAAGAAAAAAAGAAAGAAGAAAGAAAACAAGAAAAAAACGAAAAAGAAACAATAAACAAGAAAAAAAAAGAGAATTCCAGAAGGACTCGAACTCAGAACTTTCACTTCAGGAGAAGATGCACCCCCCTGAATACATAAGAAATAATGAAAATAAAAAAMYKAAAAAGKTGGGACGATTCCCCCGAGACATTCTATGAAGCTGAGGCGTCGAATCGGCTTACGTTACGGTTAGAGATTTYGGCTCTYCMACGHTATCYCVAGTGAACATAAAACTTAGTCTTAACCAAAAGGCAAGGGAGTGAGGGGGTAGCCGCCCACTAGAGCATACCTTTTAGACCATCGTACTATGAAGACGCTTATAGTTATCTAATATCTAATGGGGGTAGTCTATTCGGTGAAGTTCTATGCTAATATATGACGTCACCAAAATCCTTAGGGATCAGGGAGCCAATCAGAGCTCAGCTCGGGAATTAGCAAACGATACAGGCTTTGCATAATCATTCTTCAGTGGATCTATTATTTAAGGGGGGTGGGGATGGGTGCTGAGCGCTGGTTTGTGGCCGAATTCCAATGTTCGATGTAATGTGACGGCTTTCACCGGGCTGTTCCTCTGTTGTCGTTATTGTTTTCCAAATTATCAGATGAAAATTAGGTGTACAGTTCTTATATCAGATAGACATTATTAGTATTCGGATAAACACCACGGCACAAATCTCTATGAAATTCTTAACGTAAGTGGTTTACAACCAGCAGATATTTGCTGGAAATTCAACGGAACACAATTAAAGAACTTTAGAACGTACATGTTGATGATATAAAAGTTTACACATTATTGAATATAAATACCGTGAATCAATTGAAGAAATAAAAAAACTTAAGAAGCTTTCGGTTTTATTGGAAAACTTTAATCAGGCGAATGATAGTAATTTTAAAACATGGATGTAAAAATACAGTTTAGATAATAAAAACATTTTTTCGGAGAAAACATTCGAGAATTAATCATGAGCTTATAAGTCAACAGATACAGAAAGATGTCTTTGATTACAGGCTATTACAKCTAAATTAAAGCTCTAAGGACCGCTCCATGTCGTGGATAAACTTTTCCTTTTCATAATCTTTACTGTAGGCAGGGAAACAGAGCGCCCCGCGTCAGGCCCCACGGGAAGAACAATAGGTTCATTGGTCCCTGGGAATCTCCGCGTTGTGTATTCATAGGCGACGTAGTGGTCGATCGCCACGTGATGCTTCCAGTTCCTTGCAGCGTATACAGATAATTCAGAAAACGTTGTATACTGGAGATAGTGTATTCGAAGCTCAATAAATCTCTTTATAATGGCCAGAGTCACATGCAGTCCTCGACTGCCTATTTTTTCCTATGTTTTTGTTAGCAATTATCAAACTTGAAAGTGTACTTTCGATAGCACTGATTTTCCAAATAAGTATACTATCTCACAAGTTAATTGTCAAAAATAATTGCTGACGATCAAAGATCAAAATGAGAATTTAATTTCTTAGCTGCAATTAGAAGCGGTGCAGTTAAAATGGCCACACTCATCTTGTTTTTGCGCGCGAATTTTAGACTGTCACTTTTTGATCTTAAAAAGAGAAAATGTTATACTAGCCCCGCTATTAATTTTGAACTGCGCATATACTGTTCACGCTAGAACATAATCTAAAAATAAAAACCATGTAATTTTGTCGAATTTAGCTTCCGCACTTGTCATGTGCTGTCGTAAAGGATCTCGGTGTTAGCTTCATTATACCAGTAACCTTTCTTGTCACAAAGCACTATGATTTGCGTGCAATTTTGACTAGTTTCATTAAGACTTATGAAGTCTATGATAACTTAAAGATGTCGATCACTAGGCGTTGCTGCCGTCAATGTGTATTTGATAAGTTAACATCCTTGTAAGTCGACAACTAGCTATACCCACCCCTCAGTACATGGTACATAATATTACCTCCAGTGTAGCGACAATGTAACCCTTCACATCTAGTAATATTCCAGATAGATGGCAATCAATTTATCATCCGAGTACGGTGTCAAAATGGGGGTAAATCTAGGGAAAAACGACGTCTCGAACAGACACGAGGGAACACTACTAACAGGTACAACACAAGGTTGGCTAAACACACTAATCGAAGCGATTGTTCTAAACCACAAATACAGGTACCAAATCACTGGACCTCGACAAGAACTGATCCTAAAATTAACAGCTTTTAGGTTTCAACAATGAGAAGTAACTGTACCACACCCAGAAAATAAACACTTGATTGTACAAACTAACATATAATTGCAACATTTAAGAATACTTGAATTTTATCAAAACGCGGTGCGATACTAACAGATTCAAGTTAATAAAAACACTACGATATGATGTAAGCATGCATATCATGTAAACAAAGGTGTTTTTTAGTAGTGGACTAACTCCTTGACCTTAATGACGATATAATGTACAAGGTTAAATTACTGAACTAAACAAAGTAAAAATCACGTTCATTTACTTCATAGACACCATTCATGTTTATTTAGAAAGCACCATTACACAGGACCCTTCACAACAATATCATAAGAACTGGCTACACGATCACCACTGTCAACCACTAATGAATCTAAAGAGACCATCTATAAAGTTGTACATCGTGGTCTAACATTGTATGAAATGATGTATATACAATGCAAAACAAAACTTTCATAGACAAAGACTTATTTTCACCAAGAATTAAGTATTGAGTTCTAACTTTGTCTCTCGAATAAATCACTTTCACCAGAAGTGACGTAATTAAGGCAAGGATAAAGAGATGCGGACATTGCGGATTCCGCTGTACACAGCTTGTATTTCTCAGTGCACAATTACTGAGGGATGATGGGAAATACTTTGCTAGGTGGTCTTATTGGCTGACATACGGATTGGGTACAATCACTGCACACCACGTTGCTGTATCATCTTGCATCATTGGTTATCGGTCATTGAGTGGAATCACAATCTTGTCAGTGAAGGGGGATATATATTTGATGCCAGCGCTTGCAAATACCCCCTTTGGTATCCCAACATCCCCTAAGAAGAGCCTCCCTGTTTTAGGTGTTCCAACCTAATAGAGTAAGAATGATCATTACTACCAATCATCATTACTATCATT